GCAGATCCTTTTTCCTCCCCCAAAAAAGCTGCTTCTTGGGCCTTTGTCCTAGTTAACCAACCAAGTGCATCTCTCCCTTCAAGATTTGGTTGGGGCCCTGCCCCAGCCCACCGGGCCTGGTCATCATCCTGCCGTGAAACTGGTGGCCTCTGTGTCCATCTGCACGGAGCTGTGCATGTCTTACCCCCGGTGCTGGATGGTGCTGAGCAGGGTGCTAGAAGCTTCATGCTCACATCTGTAGTTCCAGCCAGCTCACACCAGTGCTGTGGTTGGCAAACTGCGGCTCGGCAAACCGCAGTTCATAAGCCACATGCGGCTCTTTGGCCCCTTGAGTGTGGCTATTCCACAAAATACCGGCTCTTCCACAAAATACTGACTTCTGCACATGAGCCACGAAGTTTCAATTGCACTATACGAGCACGCCCACACGTGGTATTTTGTGGAAGAGCCACACTCAAGAGGCCAAAGAGCCGCATGTGGCTCACGAACCACGGTTTGCCGACCACGGCACTAGTGCAATGAGGGGCGACAGCGGCAACTTGTCATTTACAGACTAGGAAGCTGAGGCCATGAGGTTGGATCACTTGCCACAGCCTCTGCTGTCGGATGTGGTAGCGCCTTTCAGGGCTCACATGCAAATGCTGCTCCACGCAGGTGACACGGGGACCTCACCTGTGGCAGGGAGCAGAGCGGTCACAGCTTCTCACACAGCCCCGCCCTGGGATTCTCACAACAGTGGCGCCTGTGCCCAGGGCCCTGCTCACACATGTCTAGCTGGGAATAGGGTCTCTCCACAGCTCAGCCCCCTGTCCCCAGGGCTGCTCTGCTCCCACCTCAGCAGCCCTCCTAGGTGGCCCCCTGTGGCTCCCTCCTGAAGCAGCTGCCTTGCCTTTCTCCCCTGGGTACCTCCTGGGCAGGGCCGTGAGGGCAGAAGGCAGGCCCACTACCCGTCTCCTGGGAGCAAAAGCTGTGGGGTTTAGTCATGTCGTCTGTGCTGAGAACAGTCCCTTCTTGTGATGTGTAACTTAAACATGTTTCTGGGGCAGGTGGGCCTGGTGGCATTGCCTTAGAAGAGTCCCCAGCTCTTTCCAGTTTGGAGGCCCCCAGAGAGATGAGACACATCCACGTGGTGTCCCTCAAATGGTGGAGGTCAGAAAGGGCCATGAGTGTGTTTCGAGATAGAGGTATTTTGTAAAAGTCTCCCTGAGAGAGAATTTCTCACCTTGAAAGACATTGTGCTAAATGAAAAAAGCCAATCACAAAAGTCCACGTGTTACATGATTGCACTCATGTGGAAGTTGAGAACAGGGGCATCTATAGGGACAGAGTTGGTGAGTTGTGAAGTAGGGATGGGAGGGGTGGAGGCGAGCGATAGCTAAAGGCCACAAGATTTCTTCTGAGGTGATGAAATTGTTCTAAGTGGACTGGGGATGATGCTTGCACAGCCCTGTGAATGTGGGAAAAACCGTCGAATCGTACACGTGACATGGGTGAATTGTGTGGCATGTGAGTTACATCTCATTTAAAAGAATTTCTCTCCACCATCTCAGTATGAAACCTACCATTATAGGTAAACCATGAAACGAAAAGGAAGTCAGCATAATTTTCTGAAGGACCTTTGCAAGGTGGGCTATACCCAGAGGTGGGATGGGTTCTTACCATAGACTCCAGGAAGGAGAGAGAGAGAGAGAGAGAGAGAGAGAGAGAGAGAGAGAGGAAGAGGAAGGGAGGAGGCCTGTTTTTCTACAGAGCTGGAGCATAGTCTTCATGAGGTAAAACCCCACCTGAAGCTGATCAGGAGGTCCGGATTCACCTTGCAGCTTCCCTCTGTCATGGGTGCCAGGAGCTGGACACCAGATACGGTCACATCCAGCGAGAGCATATTCAGGACCCCATGGCGAGCCCTCAGGGCAGCGACTTCACTCGGAATTCACCTTATTTTTCTGGCCCTTGGTTCTAGCCGACAACCCGGGGAAGAGTCCAGGTGAAAGTTAAATGGTCTGTGGGCCAGGGGCTAAGAGCCACCTCCTCAGATTTTGCCATTTCAGGTGCCACCCGTGTGTTAATGTATTTTACAGTTAATTTTTCCCCAAATAACCATATCACTGAGCTAAAATTTAAAAAGTGTTGTGATTCAGCACCCCCCCCACGGGCCCCACACAGGTCCCATCACGAGTGCACCCCCCACGGGCCCCACACAGGTCCCATTATGAGTGCACCCCCTTAATGAGCCCCACACAGGTCCCATTATGAGTGCACCCCCTTAATGAGCCCCACACAGGTCCCATTATGAGTGCACCCCCTTAATGAGCCCCACACAGGCCCCATCACGAGTGCACCCCCCCATGAGCCCCACACAAGTCCCATCACTAGTGCACCCCCCCCATGGGCCCCACACAGGTCCCATCACGAGTGCACCCCCCACGGGCCCCACACAGGCTCCATCACGAGTGCACCCCCCACAGGCCCCACACAGGTCCCATCACGAGTGCACCCCCCCACGGGCCCCACACAGGCTCCATCACGAGTGCACCCCCCCACGGGCCCCACACAGGTCCCATCACGAGTGCACCCCCCCACGGGCCCCACACAGGTTCCATCACGAGTGCACCCCCCCCACGGGCCCCACACAGGTCCCATCACGAGTGCACCCCCCACGGGCCCCACACAGGTCCTATCACGAGTGCACCCC